GTTGCGGTGCCGGCCGCTCGCAGCGGGCTCCCGGTAAACCTTCCTCCCGCAACCTAATTTTAGGTGCCACCTGCTGACCGGTGCTTGATTTCAAAGCTGATTTAATCTCCGAGCTCCAGACGCGTCAGCCGAAATCAGCTTGGTTTACGTGGGGCGTGATGGTTTCCCCCTCCGACGTGCGTGGTTTTCCTGCCTAATGAGCCTGCCTTACGGTGTTTCTGCTCCTGAGGAGAAAGGTGGCTGAGTGGTGCTTCGGTCAGGGCAGGAGATCAGTCTGCCTGCCCCTGCCTGCTTTGCCCTCTGGTCGCAGCAGAAATGCGGTTTGCTGGGACCCTGCCCCTGCTCCCGGTGCTGCTGGAGACGGTTCGTGGTTCGGGGCCGTGGTAAAACCGATCGCGTTTTGAGTCTTGTCCCCTCCGCACGGCAGGGCCTCGTGGCTAGGCTGGTCGCTTCTCTCTGAAATAGCTAAAAGGCGTTTTTTGAAGTTTCTTCTTCCTTTTCCAAAGCGTTGGGAGGAAAAAAACCCAGCAAACTGTGTTTTCCTGTTCTTTGAAGGTCAGTTCCGCGCTTTTCCGTGCTGCCCCATTCAATCTGTGAAGGTACAGTCAGTCAGTTTTCCAGTAAGCGTTTTCCCCGGCGTTCTGCGGGGGCTGTGTCAGATGCTGAGTTTGAACAGTTGTCAGTGTCAGATCTGGTGCCACTTTCTGCAGTGTCTGATCAGTTTCTAGCCGGTTTGTGGTCCTTAACTGCTGCCACCCTTGAGCTGTTAAAATCGAGCTGATCTCTTACAGATTTCGTTACTTGCATTTCTTTCATTTAGTGTACGTGACAGATTAGGTTTCTTTATAACCATGGTCTTAGGCATAGCGTAAAATGCACCTCTTGGTTTGGAATGTTTATGTTAGCCGTTTCCTGGTAGGTATGTATTTTCATTCGACAACAAAGGTTCTCAATTTTGATTGTTGCTTTTTTGTTTGTTAATTTACCAGCTATTAAAAACTTGCGGGTGACTGTTGGAACTTGGCATGATCTCCTTAACCTTCTTCTGTTCTCACCTCTTTGCAGTGACCTTAGTTAAGATATGCTGCCCTAAGCCTAGGATGCAAAAGTTTGGGCAGGTTGCACTAAGCACCATTAGAACAACAGGAAAGCCTTACTCAATGGGAGGATTACTCATTAGGCGTTCAGAGACAAAGTCCACGGTCTTCCAGTTGTTCTGTGTCCACACGTATGCTGGGAAATACACCTACGGTAGAAGTACAGCCCTTAACATCTCGGCAGCTTATGGCTCATCAGGTACTAGGAGACTGAAGATCGATTACTCTTTACTCACTGTAGTATTTACCTTGTAACTTAAATTCATGTGGGACGGAAATTCTCATCAGGCTTTAGTCATGCTGTAGCTTTAGACTCTGTGTCAGGTTTCCTATTGCATTACTCCTGTTAACTTCAGAGATCAAGGTAACACTTAACTTGTTTGGCTTTTTCCTCTCCGAGATGAAGCCTTGTATGGGAAGTTTTTTAAGTTTATGCATTTTGATTTCACTTCTTGCTCCATGCAAGGATTTTCCCGTCTCAGTTTATAGCTGGGCAGTGGAAGTATCCCTGAATTATTTCTTCACTTCTGCATAATTTTAAATTGGTCATTTCTGAGATCAATAATTTAAGTCTTGATATTCTGTGTTAGAGTCCTTTGTCAATGCCAGCTGCATCGACTGGATTGAAGGGTCTGTGCGGATAGCATGATGATTTTTACAGAATCGCAGAGTAATTGAGATTGGAAGGGACCTCTGGAGGTCACCTCGTCTGACCAGAGCAGAGGCAGCTAGAGCAGGCTGATCAGGACCTTGTCCAGTTAGGTTTTGAATACAGCCAAGGATGGAGGCTCCACAACCTCTTGGGCAACCTGTTCCAGAGTTTGATCACTCTTACAAAAAAAAATTAGTTTTTTTAATTATGTGTATAAACTGAATTTCCTGTATTTCAGTTTGTTCCCATTGCCTCTTGTCCTTTCCCTGGGCACCACTGAGAAGAGTCTGTCTCAGTCTTCTTTACTCCCTCCCATCCAGTATTTGTATGTGTTGGTAAGATCCTCCCAAGCCTCTCCTCTCCAGGCTAAACAATTCTAGCACCCTCAGCCTCTCATTGCATGCAAGAATCTATCTCTCATCCCTTAATTTTCATAGCCCTTCTCTGGACTTTTTCCGTGTCTGTCTTGTGCTGTGGAGCCCAGAACTGGACACAGCACCCTGACGTGGTTTCACCAGCGCTGAGCGGAGGGGAGCAATCACCTCTCTTGGCTTGCTGGCAACATTCTTCCCAATGGGCTCCTTCGCTCACCTTAGGGGGCAAAACCCGAACCAGCAGAACTCCTGAGGGTCACCTTGAGCCAGTGCTTGACAGTGACTCCCTCTCATGCCATGGTGGTGATTTCAAAGTTAGAGTACGCAATCGTAATGTTCAGATGTGGGCACTTTGGCTCACGGGATGCTAAGGTATGCTGGGGAGGGTGATCTCTGCGTGGGAAATGTGTGTAGTTCACAACGCAAATGGACAATACATGAATCTGAAGGTGCATTTAAGTAAGGGAAATGTCAGAAGCCCTTCAGTCTGCCCAGCCTTTTCATTTTTAAGGAGGGAAAAGGATTTAGTAGATCACATCGCTTGCTTTTCATACTTCCCTTTTCTGCGTGTGGTTTGTGAAAGCTGTGTTGCTGATTTAGAATTCCTGTTTCAGCTGATCTCTCAGCTTTTTTCCTCATTTTCCTAAAACGCTGCAAGTCAGGCGTCTTGTTACCACCTGGTTTGACTCGCCATACCTACCTCAGTAACGTGTAACCTGTTAAAGCAGTAGTTTAAAGTTTGGGGTTTTTGGAAATTTCTGCCCAGAAATATTGGGTTACTGTTGTTTTGTTCACAAATTGATGTTTTTCCCCCCCATCTCTCACCATTCAGGATGTATGGGCTGTATTGTCACAGTTGATAAGTTATCTAAAACTTCAATTTTTATTGCAGTTAACTTATAACTAATCACCCAGGTCCTATGCAGGTTTTTCCATCTGTTAGGCAGTCATCAGAAGTACACGATGAGATTCTCGTGCTTTCCTCTAGCCCTCAGTCACTTTTGCCACTCAGCCTATTCCTAGTTCTGCAGTCACGTTCCGTAGAACGTTGGTGGATGTCTGATCACAGAAGCTGCTGTGGACTGGCTGTATTGGTTTACCATGCAGATTTTGTCATTATGATTCTAAGTCAGTTAAGTCTTTCGGTTTGTAAACTTACCATTGCAAGCTAACTTGATAACAACAATTTTAAATTGCTAGTTACTCGTGTGTAGAATTGCATTGTTGTCATTAAGTAACTAAACACAGCCTTAGATAAATATGTACTGGTAAGGTCCTGTTAATAGCCAAGGCCTCAGCTGGAGCTTTTCTAATTGTTGTTTACAAAGTCTGTCATTCATCACTGTCAAAGAGTAGTTAAAATTTGCATAGATATGCTCATCATTACCTGTATCTTCCTGAAGTTGTTTCGGTTTTCAGTATATTATACTGCGTATTTTCTGGAGGAGAGAGAAGGTACAACCTTTTCCAGTCACCAACCAGACTGATTTTCGAAGATTTTTATGTACAGAATGGTGGTTTAAGAGTTGCAGAGTTTACTCCTGTCTGAGAGAAAATCTAAATTGCTTGTCCTTTCAGTTCTTAACTGGAGTTGATGCGTGTTTCATTCCTCGTGTGTGAGATCTCTCTTTGCCAGCAGCATAAACCTTTATTGACAGATTCGTGCTGTTTCAGGAGGTATCCTTGCCCTGAAAAAAGAGCTTGCCACCTCTTTCAGCATCATCTGGGTTATGCGTTTAGGGAATATCAGCTTTAGAGAGAGCTGGGCACATTTTTGTCCTTGTTGTGATGGGGTTTTTTTTTCCTCTTGTCACCTTTGCTCTTATTACTCCTCTAACTCTGAAATAGGCTGTTTGCATATCCTGTTCCTGTGGCGCGTACTGTCCTAGCCAAATACAACGCCTTGAAGCAAAACCAGGGCACCCAGCCTCTGGTGAAATGAATACTTTGTTTTGGTGTTACACAAATGCAAGATAACGGCCTTCTTTTTTTTTTTCTTTTTTACTTTTTTTTAATTGTTTATCTTCAGGAAGTTGGGTCTCCCCAATAGGTTAGCGGCAACAGGGATTTCTGACTCTGACTTCATACTCATTCCTCCAAATATTTCCTCAAAATATGTACATTTTAAAGTTCATTATATTTTATTCATTTCCACTGGGATTGAGGGGAGGAAAACAGTTTTGTACATGTTTTAGTTTTTGTTATTTTTTGTAGGTGCTGGAGAGAACCTGGAAAACACGATGGCAGCCTTTCACCAGTGAGTACAAATGGAACCAATAATGCCTAAAGCAGCGATTGTCTTTAGTCAGTGAAGCATTAAAGAAAGATAGGATTTCCAACAGCTGTTTGGGGTACAGTGTCCTATTCCTGAAAGTCATCTCTCTTTTAAATGAC